CATGATCCAGACACAAACATGAAAAATACCAGTTTCTGCATTCAAACCTTTTTGGTTTTCTTCTGCCGGGGTGAGGGCAAATCCTTCATCCATTCCAGCTTCTCAAACTCCACATTGTCCATGTGAATCCATTCCTTCTTGGGCTTCACAGGCAGATCATCATCTTTGCAGGGAGGAAAAATGGCAGTCTTACCTTCCAAGGCAGGGACGAAGAAAATACTATTCCCTCTTTGCCAACCTAGTTGGCTTAAAGACTGCATCAAATATAGGATTCATGTAAAATAAGAAGAAAACAATTTTCAAACTGACTTGTTGGCTGATGCATAAACATCAAAGGTTTAAAGCTGTTTTCATCTTTCATGAGAGCTAGAAGAGGAAGTAAACAGCACTGTAATGAAATTCACAGACAAGGCTAATTTGGGAGAAGTTGAACAGAAGTCAGGACACAAATAAGGCAAGTGATCAGAACCAGGGCAGAAAAATAGTATCAGCCCTACTTTTGAGAAAGCAAACTAATATCATTCAAGGAGGGGGATGTTAGAGGAGATGTGAAATGATTCAAAAGTATTAATGCAGAGAAGTCCATGCAAATTACTGGAAGCCAGTGTGATTTCAGCCTAGATACACCGGAGAGAGCATAAACACTACTATTCGTGCTTTTGTCACGTTTGCTATGATGCTCTTCATTCTGTGTCCCTCCTCTGAAGACTTGAGATCAGCTTGGGAAGAAAAGATCAAAACAGCTGAAAATTTACACAGCTTGCCTGAGAAACAGCTCAGTGGGGAAACTGGACAGTTGAACAAGAATTTCAAAGATGCAAGTACTAAAGGAAGAAATAACTGATTTAACTTTATAAAGACCTTTGACTAGAAGAATTTGAGAAACAGGACATTTATGCCTGACATCACAAGAGTTGCCCTAGGAAAGGGAAAGATCAGGATATGGAAGAATCTCACAAGTGAAGGAGAGATGTAACTGGAAATGATCTGAACACTATGAAAGGTAATGCTTTGCTACTAGGATGCTATCCCATACCATCATGAGAAGAGATGAGTGAAGAAGTCTTTGCTATCTCAAGAGAAATCACACATCAGGACAGGAACAGCCAAGTCTGAGGACATGAAAAGCAGCAGCATCACTCCTGCTGGAGCAGCCCAGAACTCATTTGCATTGCAGCTATTAATCCTAGCACTCTGGTCTTCTCTTGCAAGGAACAATGAGTCCCACTGAGATGATCTTCTTCCATCAGATCTTTTCCTGACGAACCTTTTACTTTCCTCCAATTAGCAGATAAACTTTCAGGAAGGGCACTCATTCTTTCTAGGACGAAGCTTCACCCTTATGATCAATGTGGTATTGAGTCAGGCAAGGAACCAAGCACAGTTATTTTCCCCAGCCAGAAAGCTGTTCCACAGAATTTCTGCCAAAGGCTCAGCACACATTTTAATTGAAGACAAGGAAAAAGCATCTGAAATGTAAGAAAGTGGAATGTTTGTGGGTGGTAGGTGCAAAACTAGAGGAAATAAAATCAGCAGAAAAATGAAATCTATTGACATTCGTAGTTCAACAAATTGTTTTCTCCTTTTCCATTAATCACTAAATTGATAGGGTTGAGTTAATCATTCTATGAATAGGATTACGCATATTCCCACCAGCTCTTAGTATTATGATCTTGTCAACAAGAAAAGACAGAGATACATTCCAAGGCATTCAGCAGATTGTTCAGTTACTGAGAAATCCCTTTACAGAAACAAAAGCTGACAGTGTGAATGCAACATTTGTACTGAACTTTTTCAGACTTGGGTTATATTAAAGGCTACCACCCAACCTCTTCCCTTTCTGCTTTGCTTCCCCTTTTGTCTTCATGCCAGAATTTACTTTTCCATTTGATAAGATTACATGTTACTGGATGAAGGCTTTACCATCTTGTTTATTAGAAACGGTAGCCTTTTATCTCATTAGAGAGGCAGGTTTGGCTTTTGAGCAATCGCATTGCTTTGTGTCATCACCCTCTCCCTGGGAAAATTCAGAATGACCATTTCTGCTGGATTATTCATGAGAAGTTTACTTCTGAGCATAAACAGATGCAAAATCCCAACACGAAGTGCTAATGTCAAATTAATATTTTACATGTCCTGTTGGCCAAGATGGGCTGCAGGCATAAACTCAGGTGCTGGAAAGGCTTCCCTTGGTTTTATAACTGTTTTCCAGTTGATCCTTTCTTTGTTATTTCAAATATCCTGAGAAAACTCCTCTTCTCCTTTCCTGTGCAGTCTTCCATGGGAAGCAAAAGATGTTGTCAGCACACAATGCTCTGAACACTGAGCTATTCCCAAGAGCACTACTACAATCTTGTTCAGTCTTTACAGGCTGAACAACCTGCTTCTATTGCTGCTAGGTGAGTAAAAGAATGTCACTTAATCTGGTGCTACTTGTGCACTCAATCATTCTGGAACTAAAAAGAACTAAAAATAGTCCATTTGATTAAGACAGATTCATGGAAAACTAAAACTTGGGGAGAAACAGCAAAAGGACCGTTCAGTGAAGTGTTTTCCTCAATAAGAGGCTAATCAGCTTTGCTTCTCCTGCACACGTACACACGCATACACTCACAGACTCATCCCTCTCATCAAGAAAACGGTAAACGGTTGTTATCTCTTGCAAACACCAAGCTGAAATCCATGAGTGATTCAGAGACCTCTTTAATCAGTCTGCATGTTGCACTGGGACACAAAGAATGCATCAGAAGAGAGGATCAAGAGATGGAAACAGCCAAAAATTGACATGACATTGGGGGGAGAAGCATGGAGAGACATACTATAAACAAAAGTGTGGAATGGGAGCCTAAAATCACAACAGAGAAAAAGAAATGGCTAAATAAAAGCCACAACAAAGAAAGCAACAATAAGAGCAGAAGCTTAATGGGAAAACACTTCTCTTCTCTGCCATGAGAATACATGGGTTGCTCTAGCTGCTGGGTATAAAGCAGCTTTCTCCTCATACAGGCATATATTGAGTATTAAAGAGTTCTGTTCTAAGAAGCAACAGCTCTGTACAACTCTTCCAAATAAGCAGAAGAACATTCTAACTTGAATATTTCCCTCCATCCACAGCACAAAAAGAACTGTATCCCATGGAAATCAAGCCACAGAGTGCAGCCATTGGGATAAATTCTTTCATTGCATCACATGAGCAATTTCCATGAAGTAAGATTGACTGTCATCTCCATGCTATCCTGGGAGCAAATCACTAACTCTGACCTACCCAACTCCCTCTTGCCCCCAACCGATCCCAGTTAAAAGACATTATTCAAGCAGCAGCTGAATCTCACTGCCACACACTTCTGTTTCCCTGTTCACACGACTGAAGAGAAAAACAATGATACCTACTGTTTAAAACTCATTTTCCCTTCACAGACCTCAGAACAAATTTCAGAAACAAAGCAAGATCTCCCACTGAATAGCTCACCTCCGTTACATAGTGTATTACCTGTCTAACCTATGGAGCCCAACTAGAAATAAGAGAGATGTTCTTTCTTGAACCCAAAATAGATGTATTTTTTAACTATCATGATAAAATTCTGAGCTGGATAACTAACAAAGTGCCACATCAATCCAATCTGGATTGCTGCAAACACCATACAAACCTTATGTTTATGTTTAGAACATTAACAATATGCACTTTGCTTCTTACCTGTCACTTCTATCTTCATATTTTCTTCCTTCCTTACAGATTCTTCCAGACTCGCCTCCTGCATGGAAAGAGATGATCCTACACCATGCTGAGCCATAGGCAGAGATTTCACAAACTCCTCCACTCTGTTCTGTTCCATTTTTAATTCCCTTTTCTGGCCTTCATTGCCACCACGTCGTGACTTTAAGAAAGCAACTAAACTGGAATCTGCAAGTATTGACAAAGAGACAGACAGAGAAGTGACAGAAAACCTCGAAATAGTTGATATGCCTATAGCTCCTGCTATTTATGGTTTTGCCCTCTTCTTCTGTACCATCACTTCTTTTCAAACTGAGGCACTTAACTGCTTTATGACCTCCTGAGCACATAAGCTTGGTACAACTGACTGGTGAGGCAACACCAGAGAAAGTGCTGATAAATGTCTTTCAATGTAAAGCAACCACAAAAATTCCAGTTATTCTCCCAGCTTACAAATAAAAAGATAATTGTTTCTTTCCCCCTCACTGCCACTGAAAAGGCACATCCAAACAAGATTATTCATTGTGGAAAGAATTCTGGTCGGTGATTTATGAGAGGAACCCAGGTCTGACAGTTTGTCTACCCTGCCTGTGGACCGCTCAGTGGCCTCAGTCTGAATGCTACAAAGAATACACAGAACAGACACTACAAAAAGAATTACCTGCTTGTTGTGGTTTAACCCAGCAGGCAGCTAAACACCACACAGCCATTTGCTCACTCCCCGCCCCCACCAAGCAGGATCAGGGAGAGAACCAAGGAAAAAAACTAAAACTCGTGGGTTGAGATAAAGACAGTTTAATGGGACAGCCAAGAAAGAGAAAATACAACTAATACTACTAAATACACAAACCAGGTGATGCACAATACAATTGCTTACCACCTGCTGACCAATGCCCAGCCCATTCCCGAGCAGTGACTGCCCACCCAGCCAACTCCCTCCAGTTATATGCTGAGCATGACATCACATAGTATGGAATACCCCTTTGGACAGCTTGGGTCAGCTATCCTGGCTGTGTCCCCTCCCAGTTTCTTGTGCATCTCCAGCCTTCCTGCTGGCAGGGAGTGAGAAGCTGAAAAGTCCTCAACTTAGTATAAGCACTACTGTAAGCGCTACTTAACAACAACTAAAATATCAGTGTGTTATCAAAATTATTCTCATACTAAATCTGAAACACAGCACTATACCAGCTAGTAGGAAGAAAATTATTCCAGACGAAACCAGGACACTGCTCTTTACTGAATTGCACTAGAGCTGCAGTGCATGGTCTAGATACTATGTTAGGAGAAGGAGATCTGATTTGCTCTGAACTGACTCCCCATCCCGAGTGTAAGTTATGGTCTGACACCATCCAGAAAACAGACGTGGCCATTCTCTTCATGCTTTGGAGGAGAAGAGGAACATTTGGGAGATCGGGGTGTTCTGAAGGTCAGATAATATTCCTATGGCTCTAAAATAGGAAAATGTCAGAAGATCACCATTTTACCTTCAGATCTGCTACAGATATCCCACATCATTTTTGATGGAGCACACTTTCTCTCTGAATGCTCTTCATCTAGAAAATGGTGTTGAGATGCTTATGCCAGAGGCGAACAGTAGGAGCCTGTGCATTGTGCCTCTAAAAGGTATATAGTCCAATAAGCAGCATCAGAGATGTATAAAGTAATAGAATACAACACCTATGTTGGTTATTTATTCTTTGGAGGACAAAGGACAAGCAATTCAGAAATGCTCTGTACCTGAAAGAAGTCATCCCAAAAAGGAAACAAATCCCACGTCTCTGAAACAGTTCAAAGAGGATGCAGGGATCTATCCCACACTTGTGATTGCTGCATAGTCTCCTCACGATGCAGTTTAAGCTGCCCTTGGCAAGGAAGAGGCATTCAGCCCAGTCTCATTAAAGCATGCATATTTTTTCCTGAATGCAAGCAGAGCTCTCACTTTCTCATACCTCACTGTATGCAGCAAGGAAAAGACTGTATTTATTATTTCATCATTTCACACAAACAGTGACAAACAAGTCACTGATTATGTCAATCTGTGCACAGTATGTCAGAAAGTAAGCCTGCTTCTGCCCAGAGTCTCCATGGGCAAAAACAAAACAGTATCAACAAGACGACCCTGAAGACACTGCCCAGCATGGAATTACCTATGCATCCTCATACTCCACACCATGGAATTTCATCTGCTTTACAACTAAGAGGTAATTCAGAGACTGGGCAGCATTAAAGACCCACAAATTATTCACACTCCCTGAATATGGAGAAAATGTCTCTTTAATCCACATCTCTGTGCCTGTCCAGTTCCCAAGTTCATCTGTAACCCAGCAATTCATTTTAGGAGTTGCTTGCTTCATTGTGCATAATTCCATAACCACAGATATTTTGGGAATGCCAAAATTACTCCCAGTTTCCTTAAGGCCTCAAAGACTGAAAAATCTACAATTTTAACCCAATAGAGCGTATAAACAAATACATTATTTTAGAAAATAATTTACTGTTAAAAATACTTAAAATACATCCTATTCTTTTTAAACTCCCTAAGTATTCACTTCGCTAATATCCCAAAGGACGGAGTGGTGGGGACAAGGAGCAAAGATCACACATCAGTCACAAGAAGAATGGGCATAAACAAGATATTTTTCATACACATGCCGCTGTTATAAGCAGTGAGGTTAAAAAAAAATATTCACCTCAGGTAGTCTGGAGACCTCAGCTCTCTGAATGAAGGATGTACTTAAACATTCTGTCTGCAATTATTTTGCACAGCTCTTTTGCCACCTTTCCGGTTATACTCATGCTGCTTGCAATGAAGTCAAGATCATTAACATGATCTTTAAGCTAAACCTACAAGAGACTTACGCATCTAAAATGCCACTCACACCTAAATTTGATGCTAGAAAATCTGAAATTATGAGAATTTCAAAAACCCTTGTCTGCCACCTACATCTGTACGTCTGCTCTCTTGAGCACACAAAAATCACTGAAACACCAGCAAGTTTTATCATGCCCTAGATCACACAAAGTCTTATCAAACACACCACACTCAGTGTTGTCCCCCATCTTGTCATCAGCTGTCAGTGACAGGTATTCCCAGAGCACCACTGTGGACAGGGTTCCAAACCAGAGACCAGACCCCTGCCAGAACACCTGCACCCAAGAGCCAGATAATTAAAACACTTTTTCAAGAAGTTCAAGACTAGTTATAAGTTCTTCTGCTCTACCAAGTACAGATTTGAATTGAAATCTCCCACATGCCCACAGATCGCCCCTATCTGGGTACTGACAGTTCTGGCCCAAGTCTTAGGTATTTTGGAGGGGAAGCTTTCTCTCACCTCAGCATTGCTACGACCATCCTAAGATTAGCTTTGCTTTCTTATCTGCCACAGAGAATTACATTTTAGGACCTCAATACATGTATATGTAACCAAGAGCACAGACCATCTTATCCCAAAGCAAAGGGAAGATGAGACAGATTTAAGCTAAGCCCCCTCTCACCGAGGAATAAGCGCTCTAACTCCTTCACACTTAATTCTTACTCACAAACTACTGACATGACATGGAAGTTAGATTATCCACATATGCAATGAGCAGGAATCCCAAGCTCCCATCTTTGATCTGAGAATTTGGTAAGACTTCAGGACATCCACACATTCAGTAAACTTCCACGTCTCTAGAATTCACCCTGGGAAGCACATACCCAGCTGAGCCAGAAGCTTTTCCTGCTCCTGCAGAATCTCTTCCTCAGACATGGACCGCAGCTTCTCCAAGTTCTCTTTGTGAATAGCTTGAGCTTCCTGCTCACTCTTTTGGCTTCCAAGACCCTCTCCCGTTATAAGACAAGGCCGCTGAGAGATCAGAAAGTCACCAGCTTTACCTGTAAGATCCAGCAGAAAAAACAGTGATTTAAGTGTCTATTGCATTATAAATGCATCTCAATTTTGTTATTACTAGGCTTGCTTTTTTTTTTTTTTTAACCTTGGTAGCCAAGTTAAAATAGGAGTAAAGAAGTTTAGTGTAACTTCAAACAAAACTAAAATATTTGGGCTTTCATCCTATGTCACAACAAAATGTCATTTCCACCTTGTTTCTTTAGGAGTTTGGGGAGGGATGGAGGGAAAGAAATTTCGTTTCTTTAATGCAAAGCAACAGCAAGAAAAGGTAAACCGGAGCATAATTCACAATTGATGAGTGAGAGCATTCTTCCCAGTTAGTGACTATTAGATTCTTTCTCTGCCCAGACACACCTGAACCAACATTTGTATGTCAGCTGAGCCATGACCTAGTAAATATCAGCTGAGTGAGACAGAGAATTAAAATTATTAGGTAAACCAGTTTCTGAAGTGATACAGGATCCATTCTCAACACAAGCATGTTTACTTCTAACAATGTCCTGTATTCACCTTTAAGGGTTAAACGTCTTAGAAGTTCCATCAGGAGGGTATTTTTCCTACCCTGAACAAAAGCAAGTCCCCTTTATCACCCAATCTAAATCCTTTTTTAGGGGCTCATTTCATTTAACTCTAGCAGCAGGGCAACACACTCCTTAGGTCAGGGTGAGACCCCCCCCAAGTTGTCCTGTAGTCCACTATACAGGGACCTGATTTAGTGACTTTATTCCTTATGTTTTGTTCACATGCTCCATACAGTGACTTGGAACATCCCTAAGACCATAAACCACCCAAGCCTGAAAACATCGAACCCCCGTTCAAACAGCAGTAATGGCACTGATCATAATATCAGTAAGGTTTGATGTCATTTCCACAGCAGTTGTCTTACATATTGAGCAGAATGAGATGAGAAAACAGAGTGACCTGGTAAAAGATTCAGTAAGCTTCCCACCATCGGCAAGTAAGCTGAGGGTTAGCAGGCACAAACATTTTGTTACTACAAGAAACACCACTCTCCGTCTTCTCCTCTTGCTTCTAGTGATCCTGCCGCAACAATCTTGTTGAGGAGGCCAAGTCATTTTCTGATCGCTCTGTTGTGCTACTGCATTTTAGAAGCTTTCTATTTCAAGAGGATCACAGCTATAGGGCTGCTGTTATTTCCCTTTGAGATTTCTCAGACAGAAGTATGCATGCACAATTGTAACAGGATATACAGTAAGTACAGTATATTGACCTGGATGGTGGATTTGTGCACGCATAGCACAGCACGTCTAGGGGTTCTCTTAACAACTCTCTGACAGAGGTCTGGGGAGACAGAGACCTTAACCAAATGGCGATAACCCTCAAGTGATATCTGGCCTCTATTTCAACATGCAAAAGAGGTTGTCAGGGAAAAATCCAGACACACAGTCCTAAGCAAACAGGACTGCCCAAGACAGGGAAAAAGAAAAAAAAGCCTGGACATGCTGGTACCAGTTGAATTGGTTTCATCTTTCCTTGTCACATTGCTGTCAGACAAGTAACTGCTGGAGGTGGCACTGACTCATCAGCACTGCCTCGCAACATTCCTTATGGAGCAAAGCCACAGTCTCATAGCAGCAGATCTGGTGACGGAAGACTGAGCTTTCAGCTTCTAGGTAGGAGTGAGAACCTGCATCACAGTGGTCTCAAACACCTTCCTCAGACACAAGAAGAACTTTCTTCCTAAAATTGTGGAAATCAACAACGACACAAGAGAAACTTTGCATACAGCAAACAGAGAGGAAAAGGAGGACAAGAACCCTGAAAAATAAATCTATTTGGCCGTGTGTGAAGCACAAAGGAAATCAGTGAGAAAGCTAACCCAATTTTTAGAATGTTAATTTGGGTCTCAGACCACTTCAAATCCTTGTCACACTACAGACATTCCAAGTGACCTTGCGATTCCTAAACTGAGGACAACAGTGCTACTCAAAATTTAAAAATAAGGTGCACTAATGTTATGGTTACTAAGGCTATGTAAATAAAATAGGCTGCATAAGCAGAACCTTCTTCACTTACCAACCCTGATCCTGGGGACAGGTGCCCCTCCTGCTGATCCCTCAGGATCCAGGGCATCCGGAGCAGCTGATCTTATTTGCACACACTCAGCAGCAGAGGGAGTTGTTGCTGCCTTTTCGGCAGCTCTTCTCGCTGCCATCTTTTGTGCAAAGATGCTTTTTCTTCCAGATCCCACCTTCACCTGCAAAGAGGGAAGCCATGCGTCACCACTTTCCTCTCCAGACTCCCCCGCACACCTGCCACTAACAAATGTATAGATCTGATCCTAAAGACACCCTCAGATCAGACTTTGGGACATGACACAAAGAAGCTGCTAGCAGCCACCTGCCCTTTTCTGTGTGTATGCTATTCCTTTTTTAACACACAGTTCAACGCTAGGACAGAGAGACAAAAACATGAATATTTTTGCTACCTAGAGAAGGAAGATGATTAATTGTAAGTGAATTCAAGCCAGGCAAGTACACCTAAAATATCACCAAACACAACAGTTCCAGCTTTCCTGCTGTTTGGAAACCCTGCATAGCTGAATACTTTGCATTTCTGAGGATAAATGGGGCTGTACTGTACTGTGCTCACCACATGCTTGGAACAGGCTTCTTATAAGGTGATTAGAGAGCAGCAGGGTGAAGAGATTTACACAGTAAGAAGTGGGCAAGTGGTGCTAAATTAATCCTGACTAAATTTCTGTGCTGCTTGCCTAGGCAATGGAAGGGCAGGGCTCTAAACAGCCATGCACAGGAAATCCAAAGCAGACTAAGCAAAAACCTCTTGCACGTCCTTAGTCAAGAGGAGCTTAAAAATCTCTGAAGATTTGGTAGCTGCTTTGTGCACTCCTGCGTCAGGTAAACAGAACTAGTAGTTTAAAAAGTATTACTCTTTCCTTTCAAAAACACTGTGCTTCAAAATAAGCTCTCTCTTCAAAGTAACCACAGCTATCAATCACATACCAATTCCTAGCATCCGACTCCCACTCAGCTAACAGCTCTTGCTACTAGAGCAACGACTGATGATAGCAGCCATGGCTTCCAGTTTTACAGCCTCAGAAAAAAAAAATTAAGTCAAAATCCAAAGAGCTGCAAAAGAAAATCTATGCAACCCTACTTAAATATCATGCCAGGAAGAATCAGGCGTAACTTCAGTAAGTACAGACTTCATCAAACCTGGTGGACAAATTAACAGAGATTGTTCCTCAGAGGAAAACAAGCAGAACAGGATCAATTCTATTACAACAGTGCAGATTTGATTCACCTCACTAAAGAAGGGGATCGCCTTTTTTCCTAAATCAAAATGATTCCAATGTTATTTAACTTCAGGGTATAGACTGCCTACTTGATGGCAGCTTGGGAGGAGAACTCTCTCCCAAGAACACAGTAAAGTGTTCATGGCAGAGATATGTTGAGCCAGACCCTAATCTCCAGTATGCCAAGTCACTTATTCTGAGCCCTACCACCACCAAGCATTAGGCTTTGCTGTGGGGAAGTTTTAATAGTAAACGAAGGTAGCATAGAACAGCTGCTCCAAATCTTACCTCACTTTTTATCTCAGAGCGGTGAAACGTCCTTGGAAATGGGTCTCCTGTGGGCACTGGCATTGTCACTGCTAGTGCACTTGTGTCGCGTTCCTGCAGAAAAAAATTCAAACCCTGTAGAAGCCATTGCAACAACCCGGCACGTGTATATCATTTAGCTAAGAGTGGACTCAAAATCTCTCAGCTCTGCAGCTCACAAGCTTTCTGCTACATCATTGTCAGGCTCAGAGTACCTTGTGCTCGTTTAGAGGCAAAGTGAGACTATTTTCCAAAAGGCTGGGCTGCCAAACCCCACACACCACTCAAAGAATCAGATAAAGGAAAACCTGGGCCAGTGCAGAGCAATGAGAACATCTCCCTTAGATGAGAAATTCACCCAAATCCACGCTAGAGCACATTCCTGCATGCAAGCAGCGTGACCTGTAGGCAGTCTGGACTGGAGAGCAAATTCAAACCCGTATTTAACTGACAGCAAAAGTATACCCAAAGAGTTTTTTCTTTCCAAGGTGCTCCAGGACACTTGTCTACAGTGCTACAACTGACTCATTTTGCTGTAGAAATAAAAACCAGCAACAGAACCCTTCATCCCTGTCACTGCTTAATTCACAGAATTCAAAAAAACACTAGAGCATCACATAAAAACCAGACATACAATAATTTTGCTGAAGACTGCTGTAATGTGTTGATCATGACTCTCCAATCTTTCCTCTGGATCTTCATCCTCGAAGTGGACACAGGCACTTTTGATCTTGGACTTTTTTGGAGGAGCTGGAGTTAGAGTTGGGAGAGTATCAGGAAAATCTGTGGAGGGGAAATAATAATATATTAAAAAAAAAAAGCAGTCAAGTTACTCAAATATAACTACTGTGCAGTAGGTACTAGAACAAAGGCTCCCTAACAGCACCTATTATTGCTTTGATGAGAAACAAAGAAGATGAGGAAGCAATAAGACAATTAAGAGTTCCTCTGTCTCCGACTTGCACTGGGTAGTGGAGAGAAGCATGCTCAAGAATTTTAATATTGAGGTATTGGCACCAATGTCTTTTTAAAGAGCTGCATAAACAGGAAAGGGTACTGTGATCTGACTGCAAGTATTAAGGGAAAAAGCAAGGCTGTACAGAAACAAATAGTATCCTTGCAGGTTGTGTTCAGGCACAGAAAAGCAAATTTCAACTGCCAGCTCTAACAGCAAGTGACTTGTATGATCATGAGCAAGTCAAGGACACATTTTCCTTGCAAGATTTAAAGTGTTGCTTTTAAGAAAGCACCTGGAGCTTCTCAGGCTATTAAGTACGACAGAAGTGCTACAGTTACTACTGATGGAAGAAAACAAAACTGCAGGAAGGACGCTTATCAAGCCAGATCTGCTGGCTGAAAGCTGGAGCTGTTAAATCTCAAAGACACCGAGAACAGGGGCTGGATAGATGGCAAAATAAGCACTAAGTGTCCGATGGGTACAAATGAAAGAAAACACCTCTTGCATAGAGACTGCAAGGTACCACAGATAGCTCATAAATGTTGACAAAGGCAATGTGTTGGAAAGGTGGTTCTACTGGCTGCTAGTAAAATTAGTCAAGTGCATTTTCCAACACGACTATGAACAAACAATACCACAAGGAGGACAGATGCAGGACAAAAGCAACACTGGGTTGAGAGGGAGGGGAAAGGGCAAGCACTGAGGAACACTGAAAGAGACAGAGAAACCTAGTAATTCAAAGAACTCCACAAGGGAAATTACCATCCAACATGACTACATCCTTGTGGTCCTTCAGTGGACGTGTCTCAGTATCTGTGCTCCCTTCCTCCCCCTTCCGCTTGTCTGCTTTCTTCACAATCTTCACTGCAGGTGAAGCTCTGGCTGCCAGGAACTGATTTTGAAAGTGCAGCAGATCTGCCTCAGACTCTCCCGGCTTTGGCCTTGACAACATCCTGCCTTCTTGCTCTTGCAGCCCGGCCCTGTGTGCTGTTCACATGGAACCTACTGAAGACATGGAAAACTGGTTACAGAACTGGATTTCCTGGGGAGAGGACGGGGACAGCAAGGGAAAACCATTCATTTTTCTCCCACTCTGGTGTTCCTGTACATACTGCAGCAGCCCTACTTCAGGATCACCCCAGGACACCCTTAGTTGTACCAGAGTCCCAGACAAACTGTTTACCTTGTTCTTCATTGCCAAACAACATGCTACTAGACAAGCCAACACCTGGTCTACCAGCCAGCTGGGAGCAGAATGGCATCCATCCAGAAAAAAAAACAGCCAACAAGTGTATCACTGCCAGAATGCCAACAACACGGCCTTGGTTTTGCAAAACCACAGAAGCACCTGGTCCATGACAACAGATTTGACTTACTCAGGTATCAACACCAGGCAAGAACATCAGAGGCACAGTATCATGCAAACTTCCTCCCTCCAGCAGTCTTCTCGGAATCCTAGCATTAGCATCCCTGTCAGGATGCAAGAGCCTGTCTACACAGATTTGGACAACGCATTCACTCTCACTGACTCTGCTCTCCTTCTCACTCAAATCTCCCAAGTGAAAAAGTTTTTCTTCCTTATATAGTCCTCCTGCTTTAATTCTCTCTCACTCTTTCACTGCCCTCTTCTTGGCAGAAGCCATGCTATTTCCAAGCATTTTCATTCACTGCCCAGGACAGTTTGGGGTTGAAAGCCAAGGGTGGCATTTATAAAGACCTTTACCTCTGTGTATATGAGAACTTACTAGGAAGGCAATTATTCCACCTCCCGTCTACTAGGCACGAAAACATTTGTACTTCTCCTCACCTCTTACTCCCAGAGTGGTATTCTGGGACTGCCAATCCATTTCTCGCAGGCAGCAAGTAAAGTGTTTGCAAATACATTTCACACTAATTGAATCACTGATCAGCACTAATGCTACAGACTCGACACCTTCCCACACTTGGTATGCTGAAATATTTTGTACATATTTGATCTCTACCACTTTTAAAAGCCCATCAGGACCTGATGGTTTATTGTGCAGTTGGAAAGGAAAGTGGATATGGATTTTTAAAACAACAATTACCTGCCATATGGTTAGGCTGTATGCACGAGAAAATGCAAAGCTTAGAAGTAAATGTCTGTCTTAATTTCAGACCAAAACAAAGTTCAATCATTGTGCTGGCACAGCCACTGCCCTGAAACCAATGTTTTGTCTTTTGCTATTATCATACTCTATTGTAAAATATGTGGGGAAATACCGCATGAGGTAATTCTTGTGTCTGTTGGCATCCTCCCCACGAGGTAGTTATGACCTATATTTGGAGTATTTATACCATTTTCAGGGATCTCATTCTTCACCAGTGTTGGTTAGATGTGATGCTGCTGGTTCCAAAAGCACGAAGAGGTCCAGGGAGTTCGACAATTGATTGATTTTTGGTGTGGGGGGGTTTATTTGGGTTTGTGGGTTTTTTTTGTTTTGGGGTGTTGTTTGTTTTTTTTTTTTTTAATCAAGACCTTAGTGTAAAACCACCAACCATATAAGAACCTCTGAAATTCTTTTTCTTGCCCCTCATTTTGTGCAAAAGCTGGACTAAAACCATTCAGACTTAAGAGTTTTGTGTACCAAAACAAAGTGGATTTTCAGAGGTTTTGAGGTTTCCAGGGACTCCATTCACTTCAGCACTTCATGACTGAGGAACCAGACCTCTTCATCCAATGCCAGTATCACGAGTTAGTTGCTCGATTTCAGACATCTCAAAACAATGACCTTAATGAAAGCTGTCAGCTCAAGAGTCCCAGAACAACAACTTTCATTTACACCAAGCCTACATATGGCACAAGCAGCAGCAAGGGGAACTTCCCTGTACCCTCTGAACAATAAAACCCTCTCCCAGCACACAGGGAAAACGCCCGAACGTCTCTGCCAACACTCTCAAAGCCATCTGTGGAACACGGCCACTAGCAAAGGCTACTTCAGGGCAGGAACGGAAGGGAGCAGCCTGCGATGGTGCCTTGCTACTGTCGGAGAAGGACTTAACACAAAAACACCTGGGATGTCATTGCGGTTCTGACTGATGCTGAGAATGCAGAAACACTCCCTTTCAGTTCAGTTTCCTTGCAACTGCACAGCAAAAACTGCAGCTTCTGCAGACAGCTCCTTTTTTGCTCACTCCTAGCATAAGCACACACCTACGTATCAGTTTTTTAGGGAGCTTTCTGCCACCCCAGGGACTCCAATAGTCATAGTTCAGTTGATGGGCCCCTCTTTGATATGCAAAAGTAGCACCACACGCATCAGAAGCCAAGTGTTTCATGCTCTATCATCACAGGCTTCAAAGCCCAAATAAAGATGATGCTAGGATTAACAGACACAAAACACCCAGTTATAAGCCAAGTGTGCTGCTAATCTTTCTGCAATAAGCCTCTTCCACACAGGGATGTACATACATTTGTCCAAGTTTCTGTGTATTAAAAACATTAATCAAAAATACAGCGGGCCTTGAAATTGCCTTCATTTGCCTGGGGAATTGTCAGGCACAAGAATTCATTCAGCATTCATTGTCTCAAGAGGTTAGATGTTGTTCCAGGAACCATTTCCTCAAAGTCACTCCCTCTTCCATATGGATACAGCAGCCACCCAGCTGTAAAGAGCTACAAGATGGTGATACAGAAATGGCCATTAGTTTGGTGCAAAAATAGATAAAAGCTTTAAATGTGTTCTTCCCATGTTCTAACTGGGTCTAGAAATTTAATACAACCATGGCCTCTGACTTGGTCCTTCTGCTAGAAATTGCTTATATACACATGGCACTTGCAGACAGACAGAAGGTAGCGAAAACGGTTTGCTTTCTAATGGTACCTTTTTCCACGTCCCCTGGAAGTCATCTAAGCACATTAGCAACACTCACCTGGCCATCATAAGGAGTAATTCTTATCCACCAGGACTCAGAGAAAACATGCAAGAAAAGTAACACACTACTGATGATCAGCACTAACCCCAGCATCGTACAGTCTGGTTATCTCCAGTCTTGCAACTGGCTATTTAACAGCTAACTGCACACAAACTGTTTGCCTAGAGGGACCACCATGTGGCCAACATACGCAACCTGCTGAGGATATTGTCCTAGGAACGCATGTAAGGGATCAGAAATGCTGTCAAAAGGCCATGAGCACCTATACACACCAGAACACAGTGATTGTTATGTGAATACACTATCATGACCTGTTGTATCCCCTGTCTGCAGTAAGAGTTCCAATAAAGTTTTCTGTCATGCTTTGGACTTCCCATGGATACTGTCTGAAAAGCCCATCAGCACTGCAGGAAGTTTTACAAATCAGCAGGGACCAATGGTCTAAGTCAGACTAAAAGAAGATGCAAAAGCACAGAAGGCAATAAAGCCACAGACTGCTTCAAGCGCCAAGATACACTTTTGGATTAAACAACTTCAGCTCAAGTGTAAGCCTAAGAAGGAAGGCCAGTTAGGACAGTAAGGGACCCTAATCATCAATTAATGCAGCCTAGTATTTCCCAGAGGATGGCTTTTACTTTACAGAAGAAGTGAGGTTTATAATACTCTTCCAATGCTTTCCAGAAGCGGCATTTAAGCTTCTGAAGCATATATTACCAACCTTTGCCACTACTCTCTGCAGACATAAAACAACATAAGAATCAGGCACAGCATCTGTTTGAGCAAAGTACCACTCCACTCCCGTCCAAGGTTTTTCCAGGTGCCATCAGGCTACAAAAAATTCTATTTACTTGACATAATCCAATACTGTTATGATTTTTATTTTATTTAGCATCTGCATTTACAATTAATTTTTCTTCTACAGTAAGTGGGGCCTGTAGGCCTCTGCTACACCACAACAACAGCCATGAACTGAACACAGTTAGAAGAGAAAAAGTAGCAAGTATGTGTAAAAGCAAAGAATCACCTCTGGCTCATACTGATTTCTGAACCCTGTCACTTCCCCCCCCCCCCCCCATCTGCCACTCTACAACTTTGCATTCTTTTGTTAAAGTTATCAGAGTTGGGTCAAAGAAGAATACAAGGTCCTGCTGCCACAATTGGTGCCTCAAATTAACGTATTTCTTCAGACCCTGTTGGTTGAGGTAAGGAATTAATGGAGAAGCAAAGAGTTACATCTCAGCCTCTCCAAGGCAGCTCCACAGTCAATGGAAAGCTACAATTTCTCTGCTCTAGATTAGTGGTCAATGAAAGCCTCACTCAAGATTCTTGACTACTTTGCACAATGGTGATGTGCATACTCTGCTCTGTCACAAAAAACACTTTCTGCACACAGTAATGACTGACAGTCTAAAACATCTAGACTTGTCAAGATAGGCAGCAACTTTTATCTGCTATAGTGAAGGCATATACCTGTACAGACCCTCCTCCCAAAAAGAAAACCCCAGTCAAAAGCTGCAAAAACGTCTCCTCAAAGAGGCTCCACAGCTCACGCTGGTCACATAAGACTCAGTGACTGTTACTTTGCCTGTCAGGCACATACTACGTGCACGCATACAGCACCTTGCCTCCAGAAACGCTGCTGTCCCCAGCTTGCCTGAAGAGTCTCTGCAATAAAGAAGCACCAGCATACTACAAAATAAAATTAAAAGCAACAAGCTGCTATTAAGAAACTAAAGAACTGATGCATCCTGACGCTTTCACAGCCCTCACAGGCTTTGCCTGAACGAGTTTGAATCGAAGTCTCAAAGACACACAGGTAGGCTAGGCCCGGAGGGTTGGCGAGGCCTCTCCCTGAGGGGAACCGCTCGGGGGAGGGACCGGCCAAACACTGCCCCGCAGCACAGGGCGCCC